AAGACAGGCGGAATGGTCAATGCCGCATACTATGTTGGCATTTTGATCGCCTCCACAATGATACTCTTTTTAAAAGGCCCGCAGCTACCAAGAAGAAGGGCCTCATCCATCAGGAGAACGCGCCTGCATGCATCTGCGTCGCAATGTCGAAAATTCTTGAATTGGCTTACCAACTAATCAACTACCCCCTATATTCTTTAGATCTGGCCCCCAGCGACCTTTTCTTTTTTGAAAACCTTAAAACGCATCTGGCAGGAAAACTGTTTTCAAGCAGTGAAGAGGTCGAGGTCGCTGTGGATGACTATTTTAACTCCAGAGACGAATCTTCTACAGGATGCGGATAATGGCGTACAAAACCGGTCTTAACAGTGTATTGAGCAATATTCAATCACCTTTCTTTTTTTTCTAGGCGAACAGCTTATCAAACACCCTGCATGCCATTTGTTGAAGTGTTATGTTTTAGTTTTAAAACGGTTGTGGCCGTTGAAGCTCCTCCATTGCCAGCTCGAAACAAACCGCCGCTCCCGGCAAAGCCGCGAAGCGGCGACAATGAGACGTCACGTCTATGAATTCACTTACAAACCGAGCCAATGGTCTAATTTTTTTTTCGTGAATACTCGCCGAAATCTTTCTCTTAGGAATCTGTTGTGCACGTAGACTTATTGTATTGGTTTTTGCTAATATTGTTATCTAAATGCGATTCATCTTTCTTTGTACCACAACTTAACTAAGTAAGTTTACTGAGAGTCATTACTGCTTCTTCAACGAATTCGATTCGCTCTAGTGGGTAGATGAAACTAGTTAGTTTCCATCATTTATGAAGAGAATTGTTAACCTAGAATATTGAAGAGATGACAAGATATAGTGTACGCAATAATCGTTTCCGGTGAATACGGTCTTTTTTACGTTCAATTTGTAGTCTCTGGGTACTTCCTATATTGTTCCTGCAAATGTTTCATGTTATGAGCCGTTGTCATGTGATAGACTTCTTACGATTTCTTTCTTTGTTGTGTTGTGCTTGAGATGATTTATAAATTTTCTTCGAGTTTTTCCGCACTTGGCAGGCTACATAAGACTTGTTTGAAACGAGATCAATTTCATATCTTTTTGTAATGTTAAGAGATACTAAGCACTAGAGTTTTCTCTACCTCTAGTCACAATTTTGAATCTCTCTAAAGCCTGTTCAAGGATGTCGCCTGGCATGCTGATTGTGATAGCATATTCATTCCCTGTGGTGGGACTTTACTGTAAGATTACGGTAGTAGACAGTGGGAGGTTAACTATAGATTTGCCCGAAAGGTGGCCAGTGAGTAATTTGAAATGGTGGTCGTTGAATCTATCCTTCATTGTCAAATAGTCGTGTTTGATGAAAGGTTGAAAATATGGGAAGTTGAAAATGTAAAAAGGGATCTGTGCGGTTATTTGACTAGTGGGGTATTCGAAAAGATGTGTTATTTGAAGATTTGAGTAGTCGAGAATTTGAAAGCTGCTGCTTTCGAATATTCATGATTGAATACCTTTTAACTGTGATTCATATTTCCTTCGTTTATCCGAATTCGTACAAAATTACCAGTTATTCGTTTGTACGAAGATGACAGAAGCTTCCTGAATATTGTTCATCTCGTCTGTCCAAAAATTTTGCTAGTGCATTTAATCATTTCAAACTCTCACCAGTTTAGAACAGTCCAACATTTTATCTACTATTAGTTTCTCATTAAGTACAGGATTGTATAGAGGTTCCGGAAGAGGCATACACTCT